AGTCCGCTGCTTACGCTACTAGCCGACCGTCCCTAAATTTTTGTGTGGGCGAAATCGTCGGCGACTGGGCGGCGGTGGGAGCGCGCGCTCGGCGAGGTCCTCCAACGCACACTCGTTGTTTCGTACGTTGTGGTGAGTAAGAATGGCAGTCAGCGTTTCCGGGGTTGTCCCTGACGGAGTTGAGGTTAGTTTCTATGTCCCTACTTCCACCTTTCTCGACGTCTAATAATGACTAACGAAAAAGTACCAAACCGTAACCGAGTTGTCAGTAGGAGAGCGTGTGGATGTAATACCTCGAGTGTCATCTATAGGTGATAATAGTCAACATACGAAGGTTGTTCGAAGAAGGGTCGAGGAGACTGTAAAACTCAAACTTGGAAACTCGGCTACTTCTGTTTGCATTGACCACGTTTATAAAACCCGGACACTCCGACCAGACCGGACTCGGCGGAGGGTAGAAAATTTAGGATTAAACTCGCAAAAATGACTCTAAAGGGTTTGTACTTTGGCAGGTATTATTGTCTGTGATTTAGGCTCAATAGTTGTTGTATAGCCAACGTCCTAGACTTCACCTTTCTCGCGTCTAAAGTACATCGGCCTGCACAAAGAGTCGTAAGAAAGTCCCTACTCCGTCGGTGTCGTACGACAGTGTGTAGACTCGACGACGTGAGATGTGACCGTGAATTTTCCTCATCAAACTGTTAAAACCCCCATTACCGTGGTAATTGTTATGACCGAAGACAACCGGTCCGTAATGTAATAACACTTTCCAAAAAAATGTCTTTAGTGACCGATTCACCGAGGAGGCACGAGGCGGAGTTAGTAAATTGTGTGATTTGATTTCGGTAGAGATAGAACATAATTCCAGTGTAAGTACCGGTAAAGGACTAGTTATAAGTTAACGCTGTACAATAGCTGCCCACTGCTCCTAGTGCTAGACTCCTGGTACTAGGATGGGTTTAAAGCAGAGGCCAAATGTCACTGTGTGTGCTGTGTGCTCTGCATGTGTGACCATTAAAGAGGGGTTTCATCCCTCCCATTCTATTCTATTCTATTAAGCCCCCATACCAAAAAAGCTTTGCTTGTTGATTGGTTGTTTCTGCATTGCAGGGTAGCACTGTAATGGCACTGGAGCAGCACTTTATACCTATACTTTATAAAGTATAGTCATGACATCACAACTTTCCCGGTCCCGGTGGCTTGTTTTAAGAGTGAGTTTCTGGCTTTGGACAGAGTATGGACTGACTTTATGATACTTCACTGTATTTATATAGCATGATCAAAATAGATTAAAAAAGACATGTCAACCTCAGATTTACAAAAGCCCTTGTTCAACATTTTGCAGAGTCTCTAATACTTTTCTCTTTAATATGAAGCTAGAGCCAGGAAAAGCCCAGTAAGATTAGCTTAGCATAGAAACTGAACACAGGGGGAGACGGTAAGCTTGGCTTCTTACCAACAAGTCTAAAGCTCACTAACTAACACTTTACAGACAGAGAAAGGCTAGCTGTTTCCCCAGGGTGACCGTCTTCATGCTAAGCTAAGCAGCTGCTGTCTAGCCTCTTATTTAGCCTACAGGCATTAGAGCGGTATCAAGGGCTCATTTCAAACTGCCTGAAGTCAAATGACCAACATCCAAAACAATGGGAAATATGTGTTTAATAGTTTTATGTGTTTTCTGATATTTTAATTGTTGCTGTCAGTCATCAAACAAATACAAACTGTGCATTCAAACCCTTTATAAATGTATTTTTAACATACAAAGTACACGCTAAATATTATAGAAAAATAATACATGAGATTTTTTTATATTAACTATTTCAAGACTCATTTTTGTTTCATTGACCAATACATGCATCAAATGGTTAATGGGTCCAAACCAGTCCAAACCAAGCTCTTCCTTGATGTTGCAATCTTTAACTGCCTTTAGGACGTGACTCATAAAGATTTCAAGAAATTACTGACTTTATTTTGCAGAACTTTGCTGACATCGTCTCTTTTGAGATAAAGTTGTAGGAGTAAGGACCAACTGTTTACGGTTGTCCAGCACAAAAGCTGCATGTATTTTGTAATACTGTTACCCACAGCCCTAGTCATCAGTCTGATTTCATGAATGCGCTGAAGGAACAGTTGATGGAAAAAACTGAAAGCTAACTATATAATCAATCAATGACACACACAACAGCACAATGAGATATAGTCTAATGTTCCTGTCTGAAAAAGAGATGGACACATTTAAAAAGTCACTGGTTGTGATCAAATATAATTTATATGCTTGGGAGCATTATCCAATGTGCGGATTCACTGTTTTTTCAACTTGTACATGTTTGTTTTGATGTGCGTGCTTTTGGTAAATACTTTTCTATGTCTGTCTGTCATTTTGTAAAAATGCCTTTGCATTTCTTTACTTTCAAAAAAAGCAAAAGGTTTAACTCCTTGTGAGCAAAAACATTGTTGGGTTAGAAAATAAATTGATAGTAAAATTGTAGTAAAATAAGTGCAAAACTAGATATGTACGTATAATCAATGTTTTTATTTTACCATCTGCACATATGTCAGGATTTAGACTCAAGACAGACTTGAAACTAACCCTGTGTGCACTCCTGTGTGCCTTACTTCAATGAGGTCTCACAGTAGCTGTTTTAGTTGTTAACATTTGTAATGATAGGTTTACACATAATCAGGGGTGCACATAACTGGTACGCAGGTACGCATGCGCGGCAACAATCTGAAATGTGTACCGTCACTTGTGTCACAAAGCGCATTTGCGCCTACGTACTTGTGAAGCTTTCCAGAAGGCGGTTAGATCACCGGACGACAGAGTCAGTCTCCGTGTGCACAGACAGGGCTGCTGTTAACGTCGGTCTGTACAACGGAATTGTGCCAAAACTACGCCAACCGGCTGCGGAGGGAGACTCCCCCCCCCTTCACTGGAGAATTGCGCTAAAACAGCTGATCACAACGTTCACGCTCTGTGGTCATGAAGTACTCCACTAGCATTGGAAATGTGTCAGTTTTTTTTTTCTTGGATACATTAAAAAATAAAATTTTCTTTTACTCGCTTCTTTAGTGCTACGCACCCAGCCTTTAATGTACCTACATAACTGAATGCAAATGCCTGCAATTCATATTATTCTACTTACTAACAACCCCTTATTAAAAATAATGTGACATTGGAAAAAGAAGTGTTCACCGGGCGATGGTTAATATTTCATCTTTTTGGGTAAAGTATGAAAAAGGCAAAAATATTACTGAGTTAGTGTGATTAATGCAGTGCAAGTGCAAATGTGCAAAACACATAGGCTACAGTCCAGGAGCGTCCACTGAGCTGCTTTCCTAATTTCTTTAATGTGGTCTGATGAGATTCCCCGTTTTGTGCAATACATCTCAATTTGCTAATAAATGCAACTCCTCCCAGCATCCTCAGTACTGTCTTTATCATTTGTGAGGAGAACAAATGTGCTGCATAATCTCCAGTTAGAGCAGGGGAGGCCTCCATAGCAACCGAGCTGCTCTGCAGGTCTGTTAATGTGTGTCTGCTGCCATCTAGTGGACACAAGCCATGCTGTATGAGGTGTAATGTATGGTTTGTACAATAGGTGTCGCTATACTGTCTTTTTCACATTGCCATCAGTTTTGTTTATTCAGCCTCAAAGGGCCACTTTGGATCGCTGTGGGAACTACTCGCACTTATTGAAATGACCACTAGATGTCAGCAAATTACTTTTCAAAACATGCAGGTGAATTGTGATTATGGTATATTATAAATTTTTTATTATTGTTTTTCCTAAACACAGTATTAATAGCATTTCCAATTTTCATTAATATACTTGCCCCTTTATGTCTACAGGTGACCGTCATAGTTTCAGTTTTTTAACTTAACGCTCCCTATTTCCCATCATCCCTAATATAATCTGTTTGATGTATTTTTTTCGCTTCCTCTCATCGTGTTAGCATAACACTCCCATGGAATTGTTTTGGGAAATATTGACAACACCTGGCAAACAATTTACTCAGAGAAAATAAAACGTCAGGACACATTTGAATGGGGGGTTAACAGCAAAGACAAAAAGGTGTTCAGAAGCCTGTGGTTTTGGTGTTTTACACAGGTTGTACTCATTGGTCCACTCCTACAGCTTTGGGAGGAGCTTAGTGCCTCAGCCTAATTGGACATTGGTCAAACATATGCCACTTATTCATAAGCAACCAATCAGAGAAGCTGCCAGCCAAGCACTTACCCAGGGAGTTTCCTCCTGTCCCAAAACTGATGTGAAAACTTAACTATATATAGGTGTGTGTGTGTGTGTGTGTGTGTGTGTGTGTGTGTGTGTGTGTGTGTGTGTGTGTGTGTGTGTGTGTGTGTGTGTGTGTGTGTGTGTGTGTGTGTGTGTTTCTTCTGCTTCCAGAGGCCAGCTGTGGGGCAGGATTACACCTCTCTCTCTCTCTGTCCACCTCCTTCCATCCCTCTCCACCCTCACTTCTCACTCCCCTTGCTCCTGAGTGTATTTTGTTCAGGGCTGTGCACATNTACTGAAGCTACACGACAACAGCCCAGATCATGTGAAAAATGTGTTGACTTGGAAGGAACTAGAGCTCCGTCTTAGAAAAGGGAAGACAATAGACAAAACAGAGGTTTTGTCTATTGTCTTCCCTTTTCTAAGACGGAGCTCTAGTTCCTTCCAAGTCAACACATTTTTCACATGATCTGGGCTGTTGTCGTGTAGCTTCAGTAATGCGCCAATATTCATCCAGTCCTGTTGTCCCTCTGTTATGAGCTTTAATGATGTTTTTGAAAACAACTTGCAGCAAAAGCAGTAGACTGAATCATTGTTCTTGGAGTATATTAACCAGCTTCGCTTAACTTTCTCACCATTTACAAGTGTTCTAAACATATAATGATAATGAAAGCTTCTGTTGTTTGGTGTTTTCGGGAATACAAAATCTCTGTCCACCTGTGCTGGCCCCCTAATCACCAGATATGTACGTACGTGATCGTTAAGTACTGATGGCCACTCAGCTGGGTCCATTGGTGAACCAGAGAGAAAAGGAGTAGAAGTTACAGAGGTAGGTGTAGTAGGCGTAATGGTACTGCTCTCAACTTCAATGGGTACAGAAATACCTATAGGGAAATTAAGAAGAAAAAAAAAGTTTTTGTTACTTGACATTTTTACAAGTTGATGTTCCTGGCAATGAACACCAGTTGAATGATTGAACACAATAGTAATAATAATAATAATGTGGTGAAGTTGATGGAACTGCTATGAAATAAAGAGATATAATTGTTTAATATAGGACTGACTCTAGATCAGCTGTCTTTTCACCACTATGGCGCTGCTTTTGAGATAGCTCCATAGTGCTAATCCAGAATCAGTCCTTAAAAACAGGTATCATCAAACTCCTGCCCCATGCATGACAAATATTTATTATAAGCAATGAACAGCGAGCTTGCTCAATAGAACTTCAACAAATGGCAATTGTAGCTAGCTCTGTGGGCTTAATCTATACACTTAATACATAACTCACCAGCATTGTCTGAGGCGGTTTTTTGGATGACATCGGAGTCACTGGTGCCAACAGCTGACCTTGTACTAACAGCAGTGGTGGAGGTTGATGGACCTGCTATGGAAAAAAGAAATATATCATTTGTAATGTAATGACTTAATTTTCCAAATTCAGAAAGCTCTCACTTTGGGCCCATTTGAACTCACCAACAGTATCCTCAGTGGACGTTGTGGTGTGTGCTGGCACCTGCTGTGGGCTTCCAAAGTACTTCAGAAGTGCTCCTGAGAAGAGTATGTTACAGAGTTAAGCTTTATGGAAACAGACTTGAAATGGAACATAAAGGCTTTATATAGCTAATTTAATAATTGGTGTGCCAATGAATACTTGCATTTACATGAAGGGAGAACCCAGAAAATGATGTTTAGATAGTACTTTAATAATACCAGGGGAAATTGGTTTATTTGGTCAAAATATGAAACAAGCACATATACCTAGCTAACATTAGCTACGAGTGTGACTTGCTGCCTGAGCTAAACTTTTCTAAAGTAAATACATCAGTAACGTTAATAGCATCACATTATTCTTCAGAAAGGCTGAGGTAATAATGATAACTTGGCTAGTTAGCTAGAAAGTAAGAAGCAGTAGTAAGTAAGTTAGATAACTCCAGAATCCAATTTATCCAACTATTGTTAANAGTAGGCTCTTGGACTGTGAGCCGTAGGGTCCCCGAACAGACCTAAATATGGAGTGTGGACTGCTACTTGGANCTCTGTAACATACTCTCCTCAGGAGCACTTCTGAAGTACTTTGGAAGCCCACAGCAGGTGCCAGCACACACCACAACGTCCACTGAGGACACTGTTGGTCACCAACAGTGTCCTCAGTGGACGTTGTGGTGTGTGCTGGCACCTGCTGTGGGCTTCCAAAGTACTTCAGAAGTGCTCCTGAGGAGAGTATGTTACAGAGTTAAGCTTTATGGAAACAGACTTGAAATGGAACATCAAATGGAACATACTAGCTTTATATAGCTAATTCAATATTCAGCCAATGAATACTTGCATTTACATGAACTTAGAACCCACACAATGATGTTTGGATAGTTCGATAGATAGATAGATAGATAGATAGATAGATAGATAGATAGATAGTACTTTATTAATCCCAGGGGAAATTGGTTTACTTGGTCAAAATATGAAACAAGCACATATACTTAGCTAACATTAGCTACGAGTGTGACTTGCTGCCTGAGCTAAACTTTTCTAAAGTAAATACATCAGTAACGTTAATAGCATCACATTATTCTTCAGAAAGGCTGAGGTAATAATGATAACTTGGCTAGTTAGCTAGAAAGTAAGAAGCAGTAGTAAGTAAGTTAGATAACTCCAGAATCCAATTTATCCAACTATTGTTAAAGGGACACAGGACAGGAGAGACAGCCATAATATGAAGTTACATACCTTTATTGTTTTGCCTTTTTTCTTCATGAAGTTTTCTCTTTTTTCTTTTTTGATCACCAGAGGCGTATGTCCTTTTTTTTGTCAGATATCATGCAAACTCCCCCACAGATGAACGCTCTGTCTCTTTTTCTGCGTTTGTTATTGGTAATGGTGGTGCGCCCTGCAAGCACTGCACTCATTAGCGCTACTGCTGGCAGGGTGTTGCAGTGCAACAATAAACCCGCGCATCAAAACACGTGTTAAAATTAGGACTGTCAGTCGACTAAAATATTTTATATAAAATATTGCGAGAGAGAGAACGCGCACACCTTACGGTAAGGTGTGCGCGTTCTCTCTCGCTCGCGCCACACATACACACACACCCTCCCGGTCCTCCCGATGGCCGTGGAAGTGTGGTCTGCCGTGGAAGTGTGTTTCTGCCGTGGAAGTGTGGTCTGCCGCAAGCGGCCGGCAGAAGCGGGGCTGTCAGCATCAGCTTGTATATGGTATTTTAAGCTCAATGCGCTCTGAAACTACGGGGCGGCCGAGGACAAAAAATACACATGCGTTAATCGCGTTAAAATAATTAGTAGCGTTAACGCATTAACTTGACAGCCCTAGTTAAAATAAAAAAATGTAATTTTTTTTTTTTTTCTAGTGGCTGCGGGGCCCTAATCGGCCGCTTATGTCGCTTAATGGGTCGGGCCGGCCCTGCAGGTACTCCTTGATATGAATTTTAAACCTTAATCAATTTCTACATTTGTCAACACTGTGTTTGCATGCTGGCATGGCACACCTGATCTCTGAGAAACACTATGATACAAACAGGAAGCAACCTTTTTGTTTTCTTGTGATAACGGCACAAGATAATCAACATTTAATGATTGTCTTGAGACAAGGACACTAAAAAAGCATTTGCACGCTCAGCAGTTGTTGGGTTCCTTGGTATAGGGCAGGGGTCGGAAACCCGCGGCTCTTTAAGCCCTCTACTCTGGCTCCCTTGAGTTAGACAAAAATAAGAAGGCAATCAAATAAAAGTATTTGTAGGACTATTTATATTTTGTTGCACGGTTGAAAATGTTTTGTATCTTGTATTTTGAGGTAATACTGTGACACATAAATAAAAAACAAAAAGGGTTTTAATTAGGTCAACTAAACTATGTGTCACATCCTGCTATGGTCCCGTGCCAGCGCCTTTTCCTGCAGGTTAATAACCTGACCCCCTGCTCGATGAGCGACCTATGGATAAATCAAAGAAAAGAAAAGTACCGGAGGAACAGAGGATTGAATTCTGCGTGGACAGAGTTATATGCTTTAAAGCAAACGATGCTGGCTTACTGTTATGTTTGATATTTGGAGAGAAGTTCTCAAAGGTGCTGCAGCCTTTACGTATCAAGGAGAAACATGGAAGAGGAAGACAGCTGACGATCTTCAGTCATAATTCAATCAACTCTTTTTAGGGTGCAGCTATATGTTTTAATTATTTCAAAGTGGGTCAATTTTAAATTGTATTTTTTTTTTGCTTCAAATGTGCAGAGGACTAGAATAAATGTGATCAGAGTAAGATGGGTCATTCTGCATAATAATGACCCATGTGCTTCTGTTTGTTTTCAGATTAACAGGCTTCAGACAAAAAGGGCTTTCACTCCCATGAGACATCAGTCATACTGGAGCAACAATGACGTATTTATCATTTGCTGACAGATTCCTCCTTGTGGTTGAGGTAGAAACAGCGGGGAGACAGTGCCTTTGTTGTAGCTGCTCCCCAGGCTGTGGAACAATTCCCCCCCCCCAGATCAGACTTGGTCCCACTTTGCCTGTTTTTAAGTCTTGTTTAAAGACTCACTTATTCTCCTGTGCATATGCAGATCACTTATAAGACATGTCAGTCTGTGCTTTTTTTATTTACTCTGGTTTTATATAGTTTTTACGTCATGTATGAGAGTTTTCAGTATGTGGCTTTAAGTATGGTTTGATTGTCTCATGTTTTACATTTATTTTATGTTTTGTCCAGTTTTGTATTAATGTATTATGCAATTATTTTAAAATATATATATTTGTTGGTGTTCTTTACCTTGGTCAACTCTGTTGTTTTTTAATGTGCTATAGAAATAAAGTTGGATTGTCCAACCTGTTAAGTAAGCATCGCACAGGTTTAGCTCCTTAAACAAAAAGCTAATGGGGATTTTGGACCAAAATAGACCCCACATATTAACACCACTTTTATAGTAGTCAGAGCATAAATGCAATCATCAGAAGAACAAAACTAATGCAAGGTCACATGACTTCATGTCATCACCACTAAGCTAAAGGCGGCTAATGTTCGGCGTGATGACGTTTAGAAGTCTCATTTAGCAACTTTGTAGGAACCACTGTTTTTGAGACACGTACAGACTTCAGCAATTCACCAGTGGGGTATTAACTGACATGTTTACTTTAAAATGGGACAATTTTGTAAGCTTGACTACAGACCTTATTTCAGGCATCTAATCAGAGAATATGGATTCCGGAAGTGCTAAAATACTAAATACTTCACCTCTCTATAGGTGTTTTGGATTAATGGGGCATCGGAACGATGTTATTGCACTGGACAGGAATGGTCGTACTACATATCAGCTTTATATTCTGCATTTCATTGTTTTCTGTTGATGTCATCACTTACATCTTTATCTGCCAACAAGGTTTTAAGTACCTGATTTGTTAGTTAGTGATCTACACACTTTAGTGCTAATAGCTTTGAAAGCTCTGTTTTGAAACTACATTTACCATCAGTAACTCAGGACACAAAGGTCAAACTGGTTGAGATTCATGCACTAAAGCACAGGAACATTTGTGAAATGGACTTAAATCGTCCTGGCTCTCAGTCATCTAAACAGAAGCATCCTGGGATTTCTGGTTGAAATGTTTCAGCCCAAAACTAGACCCTCATGTGACAATCTATGCATCATTGCAAGGTGACTTTGCTTCCCTGGATCTGATTGCTGGTCAGTTCTAAGCATTAATGTGTGGAATGAAAAAGACGATATCTCGGGTTCTGCTGCATTCATTCTGATTCTCTTTAAATTGTCCATCCTGAGTCCGACAGTGGGTGGAATGCTACATTTTTACAATCCTTCTTTAAAGGTGGGGTATGTAATTTATTTCAGAAACACTTTGTGTTATGTAGCACCTCTAGTCCTATATCATACCAAGAACAGAGACACTAGCACAGGGGTCGGCAACCTTTTTGATATGAAGTGCCATTTAAAAAAAAAATAATTATCAGCGTGCCAATGATCGAGAATTATCAACGGGGGGGCGGTTGAGGAGCTTGACGCTCGTGAACTATCGGCA